CGCGCTGCCACCCACACCCCACCCACGCCCTGCCCGACCCACGCCCAACCACCACAGCCACCCCGTCCCGCCCCGTCCCCGCAGGCCCACCTGCTGAGCCGGTTGGTGTGCGACACGCCATACACCTTGTCCGCCACGTTCACGATCTGCGGGTGGAAGGTGGTGACGATGAACTGGGCGGGCTCGTGCTCGCGGTTGGCCTGCTGCGCCAGCATGGACGCCACCGTGGTCCTGCGGGGAGGGGAGGTGCGGGAGGGGAGTGGGCACGGGCACAGCCGCGGGTGAGCGGCAGGTGGCAGCGCGTGGGGTGGGGGCGGGCAGCAACAAGTGGCTGCGCCGGGCCAGCCCAGCCGGAGCAATGTTGTGCTCTGGGCTCGCCTTGGGACCCACCACCCTCCACGCAGGGCGCTACCCCAGCCCGCTCCAGGCGGTACGATGTGCGCAATTGTACCGCACCTGTACTGCGGGTCCAGCGCCGCATCTATCTCGTCAAACAGGTAGAAGGGGGCGGGGTCGCAGCCCTGGATGGCAAAGATCAGGGCCAGCGCCACCAGCGTCTTCTGCCCCCCGCTCAGCTGCTTCATCGACATCGTCTCGCCGCCGCCAAACGACACCTGCCCAGTGTTGGGAGACGGGCGGGCGGTGGCGGGAGGGTCAGAGGAGTAGGATAGGAATGCATGGGGGAGCAAGGGCGGGCGGGGATGCATGGGGAGCAGGATGGAGGAGGGCGAGGGAGCGGGGAGCTGGAAGCCTGCTGCGCCGCCCAGGCGGCCAGCCACCGCCTGCTGCCTGTCACGCCACCACCACCCTGCCCCTCCTCTCCTCCTCACCTTGACCTTCACCCCCGAATACTTCTCCAGCGCTCCGGCCTTGCTGCCGCCCGCGCCGCCGGCCCGCCCCTCGGGGTCGTCGTTCTCGTCCTCGGCGGCGGCGCCCGCGGCGCCGGGCAGCCGCTTCTGCATCACCAGCTCGCCACGCCCGCCGGGCACCAGCTGCGGCAGCGGGCAGGGGAGGTGGGCGGGGGTTGGGCGCGTAGGAGGCAGGGAGGGGGTGAGCGGCCCCGACACGCAAGCACAGATGATTAGCAGTGCCCCTTCGCCTCCCTCCCGGCCCCTTGCCATCGGC